GGGGGGGACATTAAGGTAGAGTAAATAAAAAAGATGCACAGAAGATGTGCCTGTCATCCCGTGCCAAGAGCCTTTCTCCTTTCCACAGGGTGCTCTGGAAATTGCAGTATTTGCTAAATCCTCGGCAGGTGTTCAACCTGAAGGATGGTCCGGAGCAAGGGTGCGTATAGGTGAAGGGCTGTAGCACAGCGTTTGGGGTGTGTGTGTGTGTGTGTGTGTGTGTGTGTGTGTGTGTGTCTCTGCAGGTCTGCATGTATGCATATGCATGTGTATAGGTTGGGGTTGGGGAGCTGGGAGTGTTTTGGCAAATCAGAACCAACCAGCAGTTTCAGGTATCACCTTTAGGAATGCCATCCTTCCTTTGAGACAAGGTCTTTCAGTGGCTTAGAGCTCATTAATTAGGCTGGTCTGGCTGATGAGTGATCCAGGGATCCTCTGCCCCTCACCCCCCCCCCAGCAGCACTGCAAGAAGAGCACATATCACCATGCCTGGCATTTTTATGTGGGATCCAATTCAGGTCCTAGAGCCAGTGCTCTCCCAGCTGAGCCAGCCTCCCAGCTCTAGACTGAAGTCTTTTGACAAGAGGGAACAGGGTCAGAGGAATGAGAGACAAGAAGTGACTTATCTGTCCAGGACTTGGGTAGATTTCAGTTACTCTTCTTCCATTTTCTCTCTTCCCTTTTGTCTCAGGCTCAGATTTTTCAAAGATGTTCCTCAATTCCGGGTATTGGTGTGTGGTGGAGACGGCACCGTAGGCTGGATTCTAGAGTCCATTGGTCAGTGCAAAGAGAGGCACCCTCTGGGCAGGAGATGGGGGCAGGAGTGTTCCAGGACCATCTCCCTCCATCCATCTCTTCACCTGCCTCCTCAGACAGAGCCAAGTTGCCTACTGTGCCTCCTGTTGCCGTGTTGCCCCTGGGCACTGGAAATGATCTGGCTCGTTGCCTAAGATGGGGAAGAGGTAAGTGGTATAGAAGTTTTGTTGGACGTGGGGGTGGGTGGCTGGAGAGACGGCTCAGCAGTTAAAGAGCACTGGCTGCTCTTCCAGAGGACCTGGACACAGTTCCCAGCCCCCACATGGAGGCTCAGCTTCTGCAGCTGCCGTCCTGGAGGCTCCGAGTCTGTCCTCTGTGGGCGCTGCATGCGCATGCTGCAGTCTCGCAGGCGGCACATCTGCTCCAATGAGTGTGCAGAGTAAACACGCCTTAAAAGACAGCGAGGAGGGGAGGCCTAGGGAGCTGGCATAAAGAGAGCACTGAGAAGAGGTGCACAAACATGGGGCCAAAGACAGGTGGCCAAAGAAGGAGCTCTGTAAAAATGAGGGTCACACTGTGAACCAAGGAGGGTTGAGGGGGACAGCCCCCTTCCCTGACACCTACATGTCTTTCTCACAAACGACTCTAGGGTCCAGAGGATAAAGGAACAATGTAGGAAGGAGAAAGTTGTGTGAGTGCTGAAATGAGCAGGCGAGGTTTAGCCGTCAAACAGCCATTCATTTACTCTTTCACTCGTTTCTTTTTCTAATTATCGAAATGTTCGCATTATGCACATGTGCTTGTGCCACAGTGGGAGTGTAGATATCAGAGGACAATTTCCTTCCTTCCTTCCTTCCTCCTTCCTTCCTTCCTCCTTCCTACTTCCTTCCTCCTGCCTTCCTTCCTCCTTCCTCCTTCCTTCCTTCCTCCTTTCTTCCTCCCTCCTTCCTTCCTTCCTTCCTCCTTCCTTCCCCCTTCTTCCTTCCTTCTTCCTTCCTTCCACCTTCCTTCCTCCTTCTTCCTTCCTTCCTCCTTCCTTCCTCCTTCCTTCCTCCTTTCTTCTTCCCTTCCTTCCTTCCTTCCTCCCTGCCATTCCTCCTTCCTTCCTTCCTCCTTCCTCCTTCCTTCCTTCCTACCTACCTACCTACAAGATGTTTCTATGTATCCCTGGCTGCCCTAAAACTCTCCCTGTAGATCAGGCGGGCTTTGAAACACTAGAGGACAGTTTTCAAGTTTGGGGAGTCAGTTTTCTTCCACCACATGGGTTCCTGAGATTGACATCAAGCTTGGCAGGAAGTACCTTTACCCACTGAGGCAGCTCACTAACTCCTCACTGATTTTCTGAGGTAGTTGCTGCAGTCTCCTAATACATTCCAGTTTCTTTGTTGTGTCTTTTTTAATATTACTCTGTTTTACCTACATGTACTCCTGTGTACCATATATGTGCCTGGTGCCTGCCTATGGAGGCCAGACATTTTCTAATTGTAATCTCCAGTTCACCTCATCCCTCTGACTTCCTGCTAGTTACTCATCCATTTTTCCTTTGAAGCCACTGAGGCTTTTAAATGTGTAAATCTTGAACCACAGTTGTCGCTCAAAGAACTTAAGAAAAAAAATAGAAAGCTCTCTGACTTTATTGTATAATGTAAGACCTTTTTTTTTAATTGTTTTACTGTGTTTTGCTTATTTGGGGCGTGCACACCTCTGTGTGTGTGTGTGTGTGTGTGTGTGTGTGTGTGTGTGTGTGTGTATACGTGCGCTTACATGGATAGAGCAATGCACACATGGAGGCCAGAGTAGAACGTCAGGAGTAAGTTCTCTTCTTTAACCCTGTGAATCCTCGGGCTCAGACTCAGGTTGGCAGTCTTGGCAGTGGGCACTTTCATGCACTGAGCCACCACTTCAACTCTACCCTAAGACTTGTATATACACACACGGCCAGTTTTCATCTGACTTCCTCATTTATCGTATTAGGCACTTTGAAATTACACATTTGAGTCTTCACTGTGAGATTCTCACAGGCTTGTTTACTCAATCACTCATGACCACAGGAATATACAGAACTAATGTAAATTAATGTTGACACCAAAAAATACCATAACGTTTGAAGAATAGGAGGGCACAAGGATATTGACATGAGAGCTCTGAAAAGGATGGATTGCTTGAGGGAGGCAGGAAAGGAAAGGATAAGGTAGAAGCCACAGTGTTGATAACTGATGAAGCAGAAAGGAGGGAGGTGGAGCTAGGTTTGGATGCTTTCCTGGTTTGCAACTGACTAGATGGGGTTGCCTGTTAGGGTGGGGATGTAGATAGAAGGCCCTTTCCAAAATTAATGATTCAGTTTGGTACAAGTTAAGCAGCTAGATGAAGGTATGGTTGATGGTCAGAATATATATTGGGACCTAGGCAAGGAGGCTCACTCCAGTAATCTCAGAGGCTGAAGCAAAGGATTGCCTTGAGTTCGAGGCCAGCCTGGGCTATATGGAGAGTTCCATGTCAGCTTGGCCTATGGTGAGGTCTTGTAACAGCAATAAAGATGTTGCCAGGTTTAGGGTAATTTCAGCACTCAAGAGGCAGAGGAAGGCAAACCTCTGTGGGTTTGCCTGATGTATCTATATAGCAAGCTCCAGGCCAGCCAGGATTACAGAGGAAGATCCTGTCACAGACAGCCAAGCACAACTGTGTGTGTGAGCACTGTGAGACACAGCTCATGTAAAAGCGTGATGATTCAAGCCCAATGCCCAGAACCCACATAGGGCAGAAGGAAAGAACCGACTCCACAACTCTACAGCATGGCATGCATGTATCTACATGTACACACACACACGGACAATATTGTGTGTATATATTTTTTGTTTGTTTGTTGATATAGGGTTTCTCTGTGTAACAGAGCTCTGGCTGTCCTGAACTTACTTTGTAGACCAGGCTGGCTTCCAACTCACAGAGATCCTCCTGCCTCTGCCTCCGCCTCCACCCCCCACCAAGTGCTGGGATTAAAGGTGTTCACCACCAGGTCCAACATAAAGTATTTTAAGTTAAAGAAAAAGAAATGTCAAGGATTTAGAAGAAAAGTCAAGGCTGAAAATATGCTTTGAAGCTGGATGTGGTAATACTCACCTTTAATTCCAGCACTCAGGATGCAGAAGCAGGCAGGGGGATCTCTGAGTTCAAGGCCAGCCTGGTCTACAGAGCAAGTTCTAGGACAGCCAGGGCTATGGAAAAAAAAAAAAAAAAAAGAACAAAAATATGTTTTGGAGATCCATCTGTTCACAGCAGTAACTGCAGCCTGACAGTAGATGATGAGAACATCCAGGGGTAAATAAGGACAGCAGGATCCTGGCAGGTACTGTATTTAAGGGCTAAGCAGAGTCTTTGACATCTGGAGCAGAGTTCTGTTGCTGCTGTAACAGTCCTCCAAAAGTGACCTAATCCACATGAAGTTGGTACCTTTCTGCTCACAGCTCAGAAGTCCAAAGCAGCCCAAAGGAGGATTTCCTAAAATTAACTGGTCAGGAGAGCCTGGGGAGAATTCCTTGCAGGTTTCTAGAGGCTGTTTACACTCCTTGGCTGACAGGCCCTGTGCAACCAGCAATGTCCTCTTTCCATTCTCTCTTACCATTGTCTCATCTCCTTGGGACTTTCTCCCCGCCTCCCAGGTTTTTAAAAAAAATTATTTATTTGTGTGGGTTTATGTACATATGCACACAGCTGCACGCGAGTGTGCCACAGCAGCCATATGGAGGTCAGAGGAAAACTTGCAGGAGTCAGTTCTCTTCAGCAAGTGAGTCCTGAGGATTAAACTCTGGTCAGCAGGCTTGGCAGCAAGCACCTTTATCTACTGAACCGATCACTGACCCATTGTTTGGGGTTTTGAGGCAGGACCTCATTATCTAGTCCAGGCTAACCTGGAACTCACTGTGTAGCACAGACAAGCCTTTTACCTGACACAATTCTAATTCTCTTGTGTCAGACTGAGTGCTAGAATCACAGGCCTTCCCTACTTACCACTTGGTCCTTAGCTTCTTCCATTTCTTTTGATGGTTTTGATTGATTTAGGGCCTTCCAGATAACCCAGGATAATCACCCATTCAAGACCCCTAATTTAATCACATCTGCAAAATCTTTCTTACTGTGTAAGAAGGTTCTTTGATATTTTATTATTTGAGGCAAAGTCTTCCTATGTTGTCTAGTTTGTTCTCAAGTTCTGGACTTACCATTTTCCTGTCTATGCCTGGAAAAGAACTGGAACCACACAGGAAGGCCAGCACAGCTCTATAAACGAGTGCGGCAAGGTGGTGCACACCTGTGATCCCAGCACTTGGGGAGGAAGAGGCAGGTGGATCTCTGTGAGTTCGAGGCCAGCCTGGTCTACAGACAGCCAAGACTACACAGGGAAACCCTGTCTTGGAAAACCAAAAGAGAGAGAGAGAGAGAGAGAGAGAGAGAGAGAGATATTGAAGTGTAGATCTCTGAGAGGCTGTTACTCTGTCTGCCATAGAAGCTGTGAAGGAATAGCTTCTGTCCTCTGTAACAAAGACAGTGAGATTTCAGAGGCTGAGTTGCAGAGTTGACAGGGAACTATATACAAAATACTGCTTTGGCAAAAGTCTTACACTTTTAAAAAATACTTTTTAAAATCTATCTTTAAAAATACTTGGGGCTGGAGAGATGGCTCAGAGGTTAAGAGCACTGGCTGCCCTTCCAACGGTCTGAAGTTCAATTCCCAGCAACCACATAGTGGTTCACAACCATCTATAGTGAGATGTGGTGCCCTCTGCTGGCATGCAAATGCAGGCAGAATGCTGTATAAATAATAAATAAATCTTTAAAAAATATTAAAAAAAATACTTACCTGTGTGTGTATGCATGTGTAATAGCACGTGTAGAGGTCAGAGAACAACTTTCAGGAGTCTTGAGGATCGAACTCAGATTGTCAGGCTTGTGTCAAGTGCCTTTATCTGCTGAGCCATGTTGCTGGCCCAACAAGTAATAACAAGGAAAGCTGGACAAGTGGAAGGCAAATCACGGTGTTTTGCCCTCAGTGAACTGTAGGAAATGACTTTTTCATAATCCTCATTACAAAAATAGTAAACACGTAAGTGTTAGTTATTTTTATAAAATTGTGATTGTTGCTTAGTTTCTCTTTTAAACCCGGCTATCACCCAAATAATTGAGACTTTTAAATTCATTGTTTATCAAGCTTTACGGCACAATCCTGAGCAGTTATTACTCTAATCTTAACTCCCTAGGCTAGTCTAGCTTTCTCCTAGCGTAAATCCCGAGACACCTGCACTTTATGGCATTTTCCCCTCCAGCTCTGCTTTCCTGATCTCTTCTAGACCTCTGCCCGGGGCTGAATCCCCTACTTCTTCCTCTCTTCTCCTCCCCTGGCTGCTCAGTGATTGGTGATAAGCTGCTTTATTGGCATATAGGGGACAATTGGGGAGCAGTGTTTACACAACACTGAGATAGGAGATTCTCAGAACAAGCATTGCAACCAGAAAAGGGAGAACAGAAGTCAGCATTTGAGTTACATAATAACTTTATGCCTACACTTAATAGTGAACAAAGTAATATAAACATTTAAGATACAGGTGCCAAGAGAGTAAAAGCTTCCTATAAGCTACTCCCTGAAGTTTCGGGTCAATCCAGCTGTTCTTTCTGGATGTGCACCAATATGAAACGTCCTCATAATTTTCCTTTTTCTTTCTTTCTTCCTTTTGAGACAGATTGTTTCCATGTAGCCTGTGATCCTCCTGCCTCAGCCTCCCAGATGCTGAGGTTACATGGCTGTGTTGACATGCCCAGATTCCCTTTTTGTTTTTGTTTCTCACATTTAGTTAGTGGCAGGTTTGGTGCGCATGTGGAGGTCAGAGAGCGACTTGCAGGAGTTGGTTCTGCTTCCAACATGTGGACCTCGGGGATGAAACTCAGGTCTCAGGCCTGGGAGCACATGACTTCACCCACTGAGTTACACACGGTAGCCCTGCGCTTTTTATATGTATATATGTGCATGTATGTATGCCCATACATATTGTCTTGGGGTGTGTGAGTGAATGTGTGTGTGTTTGTGTGTGTGTGTGTGTAGGTCCAAGGACAGCCTCCAAGGTTGAGATTTAGACTCTTTTTTTCCTGATGGTTAGATGAGGCTGGCTCACTCATGAGCTTCCCAGCATTCTGTGTCCAGCTCCCGTCTCCCTGAAGAAGCCCTGGAGATACAGATACTCGTGCTACTGTGTCCTGCTTTTCTCGGTTCTTTGTTTTCACCCTGGGTCCCCAGGGCTGTAGACAAGCCCACATGTGACTTTAAACACACAGGACATACTAGACTGACTGTCCTTGAACTTTCTTCATTAAATCATGTGTCTACAGTCTTCCCATATTATTGTATTTCACTGTTTCCAATACTTAGCATTTTGTGGCATAGATTTTAACAACTGAGGAATATTTAGATTTTTTCAATTATCTTCAAGAATATTTCCATATGCATTTATTCATGCATTGTGTGTGTTAGATTCTATAGGAGAAATTCCTAAAAGTGGAATTGTTGAGTCAAAAAAACAAAAAGTTTTGCTGGGCTCGGTGGCACAACTGTAATCCCAGCACTTAGGGAGGCAGAGGCAGGCAGATCTCTTAAGTTCCAGGACACCCTAGTCTACAGAGCAAGTCCAGGACAGCTAAGGCTTCACAGAGAAACCCTCTCAAACAACAACAAAAGTTTTAAGGGGCTGGAGAGATGGCTCAGTGGTTAAGATCACTGGCTGTTCTTATTCCCAGGACACACAAGTCAACTCATAACTATACCTAAGTCCAGTTCCAGGTGATCCAGTGCCCTCTTCTGATTTCAGTAGGCACTAGGCACACATGTGGTCTACAGAAATACATGCAGACAAATCATCTATATGCATAAAATACAGGTCAGTAAAGACTTGAAAAGGAATCTCTAACTAAATTTAATGCCATGAGTTTATCTTTCAGCGTGTGTTGGTGCAGGGCCAGGGGATTGGCTCAGGGCACTCCTTAGCTTTGTTTCTCTAGTTTGAAGTGCCAAACCAGTCTGGTTTTGCTGGTCTGGTTTTGGGTTTTTGTTTTTGTGATTTGTGATTTGTCTGAGACAGACTCACTGTGTAGTCTTCGCTGGCCTAAATCTCAATAAATAGACCAGGCTGGCCTTGAACTCTTAGAGAGCAAATGGCCTCTGCCTCCTAAATGCTTGTATTAATTGCATGCACTACCATGACCAGCTTCTGGTAGTTTTTAGCTGTTCAAGGATACAAAATTTCAAGAGTGCTGGTTAGTGTTTCAGAATTTTAAGCTGCCTCTTTGAAAATCTGCCTCCTACCTCATTCTCTTCACTTCTTGCCTACCACAAAAATATTTTGTTAAAAATTGCCAAATTACCTTCTAAAAAGATGAACAATCCACTTATCTTAACACCACATGAGAGTACCAGTCTATTAGTAAACTCATTAATAATTAATTTGGTTGGCAACACAAAGTTAACTCTTACGTACATATAACTTTATATATAACATATGGCAGTCTTTATTTTATATTAATACAGTTTACTCACTTTGTATCCCTCTAGCCCTGTCCCTCATTCTCTCCCAATCCCACCCTCCCTCCCCTCTTCTCCTCCCATGCCCCTCTCCAAGTCCACTGACAGAGGAGGTCCTCCTCCCCTTTCATCTGACCCTAGCCTGTCAGGTCTCATCAGAACTGACTGCAGTGTCCTCCTCTGTGGCCTGGCAAGGCTGCTGCCCCCCTTAGGGGGAAAATGTTACCTTCTAAATTTCTTCTGGATAGGGATATAAAGTGAATAAATTAAAAATAAATAAATAAATTGCAATCACATAAAAATAAATTTCTTCTGATTTTAATATTATTGACCATATTTGATAGGCATATTATTGGTATGTCTTCTTATGTGATACCCTTGTGTTACAGGTTTAATGTTTAGTGGGTTTGTGTTGCCTTTGATGTGGTATTGGTTTGGGAGACCTAGGGCAAGTACTACAACTGAGCTATACCCTGGACCTTTTAAGCATTTTTTTTAAATGCTGAGAAATGTAATCTGTTGCAGATTAATTTCTTTCCAGTTTACAAATTGTTGCTGCTCTTGCCATTCTTTATTTTACAGTGCTGGAGATGGAGCACAGACCCTTGCGCAGGGTGACTGTACAGCGTGCGACCCTGGAGGCATACCTTCTGTCCCTTACCACTCAGTGCTTTTCAGGCTGTGGTTTTTTTGTTTTAAAGATTTATTTCTTTATTTTACATATGAGTGCTCTATTTGCATGTACATCTGCATGACAGAAGAGGACACCTGATCATGGTGGTTGCGAACCACCATGTGGGTGCTGGGAATTGAACTCAGGACCTCTGGAAGAGCAGACAGTGCTCTTAACCTCTGAGCCATCTCTCCAGCCCTCTAGGCTGTGTTTATTTAACTAAACAGGATATTTAAATTTATTTCAGGGCAGTGGTGGTGTATGTAATGGCGGGGTAATCCCAGCACTCAGGAGGCAGAGGCAGGCAGATCTCTGAGTTTGAAGCCAGCCTGGTCTACAAAGTGAGTTCCAGGACAGCCAGGGCTACACAGAAACCCTGTCTTGAAAAATCAAGATAAACAAATAAATAAAAAATGAAAATAAGATTATTTGTTGGCATGATTTTGTGGATTTGTTGGTTTGATTTGGTTGTTGGTGGTAGTTTTGGAGACAGAGTTTTTCTGTGTAGCCCTGTGCTCTGTAGACCAGTGTGGCCTCAAATTCAGAGATTCACCTGTCTTCCTCTGAAGTACTGGGAGTAGAGACATAAGCCACCACCATCCAGCTATGTTTCTGTGTTCTGAGGCAAGGTGTCCCTGTACACCTCAAGCTGACCTTGAACTCTTATGTAGCCCAGGGTTGTCTTAAATTTTCAGTAGTACTTCAGCCTCCCAATGGCTGTCACTCATCTTTTTCTGCATTTTCCTGGTTTGTCTTTTACTGTTCAATATGTCTTTGGAATAATTTCTGTATGTACAACCATTGGAGATGTTTACTTTCCATAACGGTGATAGGGACAGAAAGAAGCTGACTTCACCGTTGGTTCATAGGGCCTGAGCATCTTGCACTTTCAATGAAAGGGTTGGGGGCTCCTCCAGAATAGAGGCAGAGGGTGGGGAATCTGCAGAAGGGCTCAGCATGGACTCTGAGGCTTGGGGATCAGTGCAAGCCTATCTTTTCCACTCCTAGGTTATGAAGGTGAGAATTTGGGAAAGATTCTCAAGGATATAGAGATAAGTAAGGTGACATATCTCGACCGATGGTCTCTGGAAGTGATACCCCATCAAAATGAAGAAAAGAGTGATCCAATCCCCTCTCAAATCATCAATAACTACTTCTCCATTGGCGTGGTCAGTGGAGTAGGGTGGGGGAGAAGGGAGGAGAAGTGTGGGTTAAGCAGATAGAAGCTGGAGGAGATCAAAGAGGAAGAGACACAGGAAAATTGGGAGTTAGGTACATAGTGGTACAGATTGGGATGTGCTATACCCTAGAAGGGGGAGGAGAGGAAGGGAAGGGCTGGGAGAAAGAGAGGGAGAGGAAAGGGGAAGAGAACTTAGCAGGGAGAAAGTCCTGAATACAGATAAGCGTGGTCTCTGAAATATGCTTGTGACTCTCCAGGATGCTTCAATTGCTCACCGATTTCACATCATGCGAGAGAAATATCCTGAGAAGTTCAATAGCAGGTGAGGAGAGGAGGGGAGAAGGGTGGCTCAGTGGGTATCTTCACCTAAGCCTGAGGACCTGAGTTGGATCCTTGGAACCCACACAGTAGAAAGTAACTCTTGCAGGTTGTCATCTGATGCAAAGTAAGTAAGATATATATATATATAAAAGACAGGGAATAGACAATCAATGTCAAGACTGGGTGTATGCCAGGCATCAGGAGGCAGAGGCAAGCAGAGCTCTCAGTCTGTAAAGGAGTTCAAGGACAGCTAGGGTTACACAGAGAAACCCTGTCTTGAAAAACCAACAACAAAAGAGAGACTAGATTTGTAACCAAGTTTGACACAGAATGGTTAGATATGGGCAGAAACGCTTGTAGGAACCCCTAAGCAAAGCTACCACTGTTCCTCTGGAGTGGGAAGTTGGCTCCCTTCCTTGTCCTGTCCACACTGTGATTTGTCTCTTCCCTGCTGGGCCTTTTGTTGGGGTTGATGAAGAATGAAAAACAAGCTATGGTATTTGGAATTTGCAACATCTGAATCCATCTTCTCAACATGCAAAAAGCTGGAAGAGTCTTTGACAGTTGAGGTACGTATGATAATACTGAATGAATTATACACATTTTTTAGCTGTTTTTTGGAGACAGGGTCTCACACTGTAGCCCAGGTTGGCCTAGAACTTGTGGCAATACTCCTGCCTCAGAGCTGTAATGCTGGGAATACAAGGTTTTTTTCCAGTTTTTTTTTTTTTTTGTATTCAAGTTTCTTCCTACACAGCAGCCTTTGGGAATGTCACATGTGTGGATCTACTTTCGACCACCCAGGTCTCCAACCCTGACTTGCCAAGTCCTTAAGATACCCTAGTGTCTGTGCTTGTGAGATGGCTCAGCAGGAGAAGGTTTGCTGCCCAGCCTGATGACCCACCTGGAGAAAGAAGAGAACTCCTGCACATTGTCCTCTTGACCACCACAAGTGCACATATGTGCCCCATCCCCTTACATATGAACCATAAATACATTTTTGATGATTTTTTTTTTTGAGACATGTAGATCTGGCTATCCTGGAGCTTATGTAGACCAGGATGGCCTCAATCTCACAAAGATCCATCTGCCTCTGCTTCCTGAGTGCTGGGACTAAAGACATGTGTTACCATTTTAGGCTAATAAAATCCATTTCTTAGGTAACACAAGTTTTTAATCTTAGCTCTCAGAGGCAGAGGAAGGGAGATCTCTGAGTTTGAGGCCAGCCTGCTTTACAGAGGGAGTTCTAGAACAGCAAGGGCTACACAGAGGGAACAATAACAAACCAAAACTTAACTCTCTTGAAAAACCAATTATAAACCGGGTGGTGGTGGTGCCCATTAAAGGCGTGGGCCATTATGCTCAGCCTCCTGCACACCTCTTAATCTTGGCAGGAGCAGCCATGTTTCATAACGGTGAGACCCTGGGTGCGCTCTAACTGCAGTTCTGTCACTCTTCCCTCAGATCTGCGGGAAGCCGCTGGATCTGAGCAGCCTGTCTCTGGAAGGCATCGCAGTACTGAACATCCCGAGCATGCATGGTGGCTCCAACCTCTGGGGCGACACCAAGAGGCCTCCTGGGAACACCTGTGAGATCAACCAGGCCTTGGGCAGCACCGCCAAAATAATTACAGACCCCGATATCTTGAAAACCTGTGTCCCAGGTGAGCCAAGCTCCCCTGGGGGCTAAAGTAGGCAAATCTGAGGGGAAGGGTAACTTCCTACAGGAAAACCTCCTTCTCTCTACTCTAACCCCCAGACATGAGTGACAAGCGGCTGGAAGTGGTAGGAATAGAAGGTGTGATTGAGATGGGCCAGATCTATACCAGGCTCAAGAGTGCAGGACATCGGTTGGCCAAGTGCTCTGAGATCACATTCCAGTAAGGAGGACTCCAGCAAGGGCTCCCGAGGGAAGGAAGGTGGTGGTTCGTGAGAATGGTGGGAGGCACTTTATTCAGTCATTATCCATGGCAGAAGGTCTCAAAGCTAAGATAGCTGAGTTTTGATGTTTGGTTGGAAAAAAAAAATCTCAACCAATCTTTCTTGACCTCTCACAGGACCACAAAAACCCTCCCTATGCAAGTTGATGGGGAGCCCTGGGTGCAGGCGCCCTGTACGGTGAGTATTGCCTGTGCCTGAGAAGCTGGGTCCTCGGGCTCCATTTTACAGCCTCTTTTCTTCCTCCTGGTGCCCTCGGCTCCCCTGTGCACCATTCTTCCCAAACTCTGGTTTCTCGCTCGCCCAGGAGCTTACCCCAGACCCCTGATGTCCCAGCATTGAGGCACGGGGACAGGCTTGCAGGCATGCTCCCTTCTCTTTCAGATCAAGATTACCCATAAGAACCAGATGCCTATGCTCATGGGTCCAGTCTCCAGCTCCTGCAATTTCTTTGGCTTTTGGAGCTGAGTGTACCCTCTGCCTTGAGTCCACCTCCGTGTTCCTGGAGCTCTCCCTCTAGGCTCTGTACATTGGTGCCACACTCTCCTGCCAGCCCAGAAGGATGCTCCATTACTTTCACAGTATTTATTATCCTGCATCCAGCTCACACACACACATTCATACACAGGCAACAATGCATAGCATTGAAAGTGCCTCACCTAATAAACTGATACTTTCCTTCACTGGGGTATCTGTTAAGTGAGTGGTATTCTCTTTTTACACCTTTACCCCTTTGAAACAAGACTTAAGAGCAAACAAAAACCTAGCGCAAGGTTCTGAGAATTTATTTCAGGTATTGGGAGTCTCAAAGAAAAGCCGACAGAAAATACAAACACTGCTGCCAACCTCCAGGAAACTCACAGGCCCCTGAGAGGACTCAGACCTGCTGTCTGCTGAGGAGTGGGCGGTTCTCACCAGCCTGGCGAGTGCGGAAGACTGGGGGCAGGCACAGCCAGTGGGTGCCACCGAGTGGTGTTTGGGAAATAGGATGAACTGAACCCTGCTTCTTAAGTCTGTGCCTAGTGTGGAAAGAAAAGGGGACGTGGTCAGTAGTGGCAGCCTTCCTATGGCTCATCCTATATGGCGGGGTTACTTGGCCTTGACTGTAGCTCTTTCCCCTCTTCTCTACCCTCCCGTGTTCACCGTCTCTTGCCTCTTTAGCCACTGACATCCATTCCCCATTACCCCTATGAGTTTCTCTCAGTTAAGGTCTTTAGCAACCTACACCATTCTCTTTTGCTTTGTTTTGTGTCATTTGAGACAGGGTCTCACTACGTAGCCCTGGCTGTCCTGGAAACTCCCTGTTTAAACCAGGCTGGTCTCAGAATCACAGAGATCTGCCTGCCTCTGCCTCTGCCTCCCAAGTGCTAGAACCAAAGGAGTGTCCATCAGTGTCCTGCTGAACTTGCCTTTCTCAGGGGTGGATAATGTGCCTCACCTCAACTGCCCTGTGCTTTTTTCATTTTACACTTTCATGTACTTATTGTGGGCTGATGTTGTGGTCCACATGTGGAGGTCAGAGGAAAATTTTGGGGAATTTGTTCTCTCCTTTCCTGTGGGCACCAGGGATTGAATTCAGGTGGTCAGCCTTAGTGGCAAGTGCCTTTCCCCTCCAAACCAAACCACTGGCTTCTGACCCACTATTAATATTAGCAATTGTTTCGCAATTGCTTCCACCCCAGGAGGTTTGGCCACATATCATCTAATGCTAATAATGCTCAGAAATTTAAAGCTACTTCCCAAAGGTAGCAACGGCAGACCGCAGCCCAGGCCTGTCTGACTTCCACTCCCAGGCTCTCTCTTGAACACACACTTCCTCAAATGGAGTGGGAGTTGTTCACCCCTGAAGGAAGAGTAGTTGGTGGTAATGGATGAGCATCTGGATAGCAGAGCTCTTACCTATATATCAGAGATGCAAGGGCCACAGCCATCAACACCAGCAAGACGCCGACAAGCAAGGGGAACTGCCCAAGGCCATCTTCGTGATCTGTAAGCAAGAATCCCAGATACTGCTTAAGTACCTGCCCCCACCCCCAGCCTCTGTCCATTCCCTTTCTCCTAGTTCTTGTTCAAGTACCTACCAGGAACAACAAGTTGGGTGCTGGCCACTGCCAGGCTGTTAGAATTAGCCAAAGACACATTGAGGCAATAGGTCCCTGAGCCACCTTTCAGTATGTGGTGTAGAACCAGCTGGCAGTCAGGGCTTGGTGGCACAGGTTGGCATAGCCTCTGGGCAGGGGGCTGGCACCCTGGAGATGAAATGTCCATACAGGCTTCCTTGGGTTGCCTGAAAGAGTATGAGTTTTCATCAAGAGATCTAGGAAGGGACAGAACTCCAGAAAGTGACTCAATTCCAAGAGTTAGCAGGACAGCCAGCAGGACACTCACCCGCCTTGGCAGGACACCGTCAGCTCAAATGCATCCCCCTTACTGGAGGGCACAGCTTGCAGAATCTCCGCATTTTCAATACCCTCTGCAAGGTGCAACTTTTTAAGTTAGGATTCTTCTACCAAGACCATATACAGGAAACCCCATGGGATTTCTTACAATACGTTCTCTGCCATTAGGGTATTCTTAAGTAATTTCTCCCAAGGCATGCTACTACTGGGCAGCCCTACCAGCTGATACCTGCCTTCCTCAGACCCCAACATAGGCAAGACTCACGGACAATGTCCAGGGTGAGGGAGAAAGAACCATATCGATACAGAACACAATCCAGGGGAGCTTGTCTCTTCACAAGCATTAACGTGCCTGTGCCGTCCAGTAGAGGAGTGTCAGACACTGGAAGGAGAAGATTTGAGGGGGCAAAGTCAAGAGACAGAACTTTCTTGGAGACAGAGACCAAGCAGGTATTGTCCCAAGTACAGCTGGAGCTACAGGATGCTGGCTGGCTGTGAGTCGGCCAACATCTGATAAGTCTCATTTTCTATATAATAAAACTATGCTAGAAAGGAAAAAAAAAATGTTTTTCCCCTCAGGGAAAGAGAACGTACACACACACACACTCACACACACAACTGGAGAGATGGATCAGTGGCTTAAAGTACTGGTTGTTCTTCTAGAAAATCTGGATTCAATTCCTAGTACATACATGGTGGCTTACGACCATCTGTAACTCCAGGTCTAGGGCAATGCCCTCTTCTGGTCTTCATGAGCATCAGGCACGTAAGTGTTACACATACATGAAGGCAAAATGCCATACATATTGTTTTTTTAATTAAAAAAAAATGACAGCTCAAGGAGAGATGACTCAGTGGTTAGAGCACTGGCTGCTCCTCCAGAAGTCCTGAGTTCAGTTCCCTGCACCTACATGGTGACTCATGACCATCTATAAGGGATCTGATGTCCTCTTCTGGCATGAAGGTATGCAGCAGAGCACTCATGTAAAATAGTAAAAAAAAAATGACCAAAAAATCTCCAAGTATTTATCAGGTCCCACACTGGGCTAGGTTCTGGACTAGACAACTGGCCTGTGTCAACCCATTCTGCATCAGATCTCACTCCTTTATTTTGCTGTGGGGTGGAAATCCAGGAGTGGGAAATGGGAGAATCGAAACATTATGTGTTTATGCTTGAACAGAAGCATGTGAAACAGCTCTGCCAATGACCACAGCTTTTCCCCTTGGCTTCCTATCTGTTATCCTGGCACATAAAAACAAGTGGCCTAGGGAAAACTCATTTTTTGGACTCCACATCTCTTGCATGTTGTTAAGATAGTCTGCAGGCTTTAGAGCTAGTGAGAATTCTGAGGTGGACACAATGCTAAAGAAAAAACTGGTTAGCTTCTGGGTCTGGGTAAGACCTCAGAGTAGAGAACGGACAACTCACCTCCAAGAAACTCATTCTCATGTTCTTACCTGTAGTGCTTTCTATGGGCAGAAAGGGGCTGGCATCCGAACTCTCAGGTTCAGGGGTGGGTAGTTCTTCAGTGGTAGTTTCCGCCAAGTCTGTGGTTGCTGCTTGTGCCACTGTGGCTCCAGACGGCCTTCTGGGTGTGGCGCTTGTACCCTCAATAGTTGACATCTCTGCCAGTGTGGTGTCCATTACTGTTGAGGTCAGCATGTGCTCAGATGTAGTAGCTGTGCCTCCTGTTGTTGGCATTGGTACAGCTGTGGTTCCAGAGGGCTCTGTAGTCTGCATCTGGCCAGGTGGAGTGCCCACAACTTTTGTAGTGGTCCCTTGCCTAGATGTGGTTCCAGGTGCCTCTGCAGTTGGCGTGTAGCCATCTGTGGTGCCTGGGACTGGGGAGGAGCCACAGGAAACGAGAGGAATGGCAGCCTGCAGTACCACCTGGGCGGTGACTGAGCCCGACTCCAGGTAAGTATGAATGACTTCAACTGCCCGAGAGATCAGGGTCCCAGTTTTGTCTCCAAAGTCCCACGTGTAAGAGAGGTCAGCCTCTGCCAAATAGCCACTGGGATCATGGAGCTGAAGGGCAAATTTGAGAGGCTGATTTCTCAGGAAGTGCTTGTTCGCTCCATCCAAGGCCTGTAGCTGCGACACACTCACAGAGAAGGGGACCTGGTCTGTGGATGGAGCCAGAAAAATCAAAATGGGGACATCTCTTCCATAGCCACACTCTCAACCCACAAACTGGCCAGCTCTTTGTCTCAACCCCACCTTTTTCTGCCTAGGTCTTTCTGGCTCTCCCCTTTGAAAGTTGGCTACTGCTTCCTCTCTGCAGTCCAAGCCAGCCTCCCCACCTCCTGCCCAATGTCTGCCTGGCCTTGTTCCTTTCTAAGCCCTTACCAGTAATGGTGAAGGCTGATGTGGAGTGAGCGAGGGGCACGTAGCTCCTGGACCCCCGTCGGTGGTAGACAGTCACTTCCATGGCATGCGTACCCAGCCTTGCATGGCCTGTCATGATGCTCAGCCTGGACACTGGGCCCCCCAGAACTTGCCAGTACTGTCCTGAGAGCAAAGCATGGAAGGGGAGGCAGCCGGTCAGAGAGAACGGAGAGGGAAAGTATAAAAAAGGCTTCAGAGAAGGGAAGTTGAGGGACCATGTCTGGAAGGGGGCGGGGGGAGGCTCCTCAGGCAGAATTACAGTTGAGAATGGGCTGCTGGGAGACCTCACCCCAGGTCTTCCAAACGTAGACAAAGCTTCTTCTCGGAGGCTTAGGACCAGATAGGCATGGTCCACCATCAGGGAAGACGCAGGCATCATCAGGTTCCTCTGGATACACTGGCTGTCCTCCCCACACCTGGCTCCCTGGAAAGGAAGTACAGGTCTTTCTTTTGTGTGCATTCAGACCCCTAACCTCGTTCCTGGTAGAGGGGGCTGTGGCAGTGCTTAGCCGGGACTACAGTCTCTGTTCTATACCCACGTCAGGTGGGAGCTGGAGAGCAGGCGATGTAGAGAAACCACAACTCAAGATTCATATGCATACGGGACATAGTAAGAGACCGGATATCCCTAGACTAAATGTGTGCAGTGGCTCTGTGGCGAGACTGATAGCAGCCGCAATAACAGTATTTACCGTAGATGCTGGCAACTCTGCTGAGCACTTTCTATAGATGAGCCTGTATTCCTAACAGTCTGTCAAGCCACCGACCCACTGTCCAGACAGGAAAACAGGCACGCATCTACTGCAGGGTTTACATCTAAGCCTGTGCAGCTTCAGGGATCTGCTGTCTTCCAGTTCGGAAACTGGAATTTTGTCTGTTCGCTAATTTTAGTCTATGTTACCTTTCATATGCTTACAGTATTTATTGACTGTAATGAATATAAACATAAGTTGTTTTGTGTTTAAGATTCTGTGGGGTCTGGAGAGATGGCTCAGAGGTTAAGAGCACTGGTTGCTCTTCCAAAGGTCCTGAGCTCAGTTCCTAACAACCACATGGTGGCTCACAACTATCTATAATGAGACCTGGTGCCCTCTTCTTGCCTGCAAATGCAGGTATAATACTGTATAAATAATAAATAAATAAATAAATCTTAAAAAAAGATTCTATAGGGGATAAAGTCAATGGAATAGCACTTGGCAAGCACATGGGAAGCCTTAGGTTTGAACCTCTGGTTTCCTGGGGATACCTGGGAATTGGAGCCACAGGAGTAAGGCTCAAGAGGCAGAGAGGGATCCTTACCATTGATGACGGTGTCGTTGGCCCAGATAACCTGCCCATCTGGCAGCACCTTTTGACTTCCAGGGAAGTGCAGGACAATGGCAAAAGAGGCGTTGGCACCAACCAGTGTAGGCCCATCATTACTGACCTTCAGAGATACCTGGCCACCTGGGAGGGACGCTGCATTAGCCTCCCTCTGGCTTCCCCGCCAAACCTCCCTCCCAGCCTGCTTAAGTTCAACCCAGTTCTTACTCTCCTCATATCTCATTCCCACCATGCCTTTCCCCAGAATTTACAAATCCTACCTCTCCAGCAGTTAGGCCCCTGAACCTCTGTCCACTCAGGGTACAGCTGCCTGTTCCAGCCTTTAGTTCCAAGTTGCCTTGGGACACCAAGCCATTCCCGATTCCTGGATCCTAAAAGAAATGCGCCATAAGCCCCTTGGATCCTGATGTCCCATTTCATATCACTGTTACCTTCAAATTGGAATTATTAATTTTGGTGGGTGGAGGGCAACACAGAGGCCGAGCACCGGGCCTGATGCCTGTGAGCACTCTACCATTGAGCTACATTCTCAACCCTCTTTTTCTTCTCTTTAAAAGATTTTATTAATTTTTTTTTTTAAGCTGAGTATAGTGGTGCATACATTTAATCCCTGCACTCAGGAGGGAGAGGCAGGTGGATCTCTGTGAGTTCCCGGACAGCCACAGCTACATAGGTGCCCTTTCTCAAAAAAGCCCAGCCTGGCCTGGAACTCGCTTTGTAGACCAGAGTGAACTTGAACTCACAGCCTCTAGATTGCTGGGATTAAAGGCATGAATCATCACACTAGAAATATTTTTTTTAATTTAGATTATTATTTACATACACACACACACACACACACACACACACACATGCGCTCACACATGCATGCACCAGACAATGGTGTATGTGTAGGGGTTAAGTGATTTTAATTAAAAATTTAAAAGCTTATGGTGCTGGGCGGCGGCGGCCTTTAATTCCAGCACTCAGGGAGGCAGTGCATGCCTGGTGACCACTGAGGTCAGGAGAGGGCATGTGATCCACTGAGTCTGGAGTGACAAACAGTGAGCTGCCATGTGGGTGCTGGCGAGTAAACCTGGTCCTCTACCAGAGCAGCCACTGAGCTAACTCTCCATTCCTGGAGGGGGGGATGGAGGAGGAAGGAAAGAGAGAAAGAAGACCAGTGTGGCAAGAAGGAGGAGTGATAAACACAGCACAGGTTGGAGGTGGGGACAGAGCAGACGTAGCTATGATTTAACTGGGGGTAGCATTTCTGGTCTGTAATCCCAGCACCAGAAGAGAAGCAGAAAGGTCACTGCAAGTTGGAGACCACATGGTCTACATGGCAAGCACCAGGCCAGCTGGGGCTACACTGGGAGACCAGAGCTAAAATACACGTTTAATAAGAGAAGAAAGGAATGTCTTCCACATCCCTCACTCAAATCCAAAGCCACCAGCATTTTGATACATTTGCTTTCTTTTTGTTGGTTGCTGTTTTTGTCTAAAATATGTATTCAGAAGAAAGTCTTGGGCAAGGGAGATGGCTGATGGAGTAAAGATGCTCTCTGCCAAACCTGACAACCTGAGTTTTGCTCCCCAGACTCACATGGTAGAGAAAAAAAAATTAAAGTCACTGTTCAAAATGTATGCACCAGCACCTTAACAGCCTCAGATGTGTGGGTGTGGACAGAATGTCACAAAACACATCAAGGAACTCAGCAGCAACAACAACAAAACAAACGGGGCAAGTAGGGTACAGGCAGCCTTTGCTGCTCTGTGGGCTCTTCTTAGCCACAGTTTCGCCCCTATCACTAGATAGGAGGAAAAGGATGAAGCGGAGAGACTGGGATCCCTGAATGTAACTTCTTCCCTTTTGTTTCTTCTTTGAGCATGACCACAAACAAGCCACAACCAACCCCCACTGAACAACCTATTGGCATTTATATACCCTCTTAAAAGTTCCTAGAATTCCAAACATCACACAATTGCAGAAACTATCTGCAACTGGCAAAACCATGCCTTTGCATGAGGTAAATCATAGTCAGCTGCTGTGGACAGTCCGAAGCAGCCCCACATCCCCACACCTGGGAAAAAAAACGAAAACACATTCCTATACTTCTGTATTTATAAAAGAAACCAAAATTCCAAAACTGTCAAAACTGTTATTCCAATAGCACACACCTGTCTGTGATTCCAGCACCCAGGAGGTAGAAGCAGAAGGATCTACTACATAGTGAGTTCAAGACCAGTGTGGGATTCATGAGACGCCCCCACCCCATCTTAAAAAAGGAATGAAAGAAAGAAAAAAAAAAACCCTGGAAATTGCAGTAAAAATGAAGAAGCAAAGAAGCCAGGTGAAGGAACTTTCTAGAAGTTTATGAAACCAGATAGAAAAAAGATGGTATGATGTACATTCCACAGCAGAACTGTCCTTATGCCAATCCTAATGTCCACAGGGAGCCAGGGACTGTGCTGAGGGTCGGCCTGTGGTCAGCTCAGAGGGGTCAGCCACGAAGCAAGGGCAGTCATAAGATGCACCATTCTTTTTGACTGCCCACTCACCCTCTTCAGCAGCACGGGACATTCCAGACCCTCTCACCAGCCTTAACTCCCTCCCTTGCTCATGTCACGAGGGCTCAATCCTCCAGAGTCCTTTCATGTGATGCTCAGCTGAGACCCTTCTGCTTGTCTCTCCCAGCCCTGGAACAGAAGGCCTGTGCTGCATTCATCTATCCCTGCCCAAGCGCAGAAGGTGGTATCAGCCCAGTCTAATTTGAATACCATATTCTTTTTCTCTCTGCTTTAAATCTCCTACCACAAACACTTCAGCTGTTACCTAAAGGACCTCACTCACGCCACCGCCTTGGAGGCGCTGAGCCTGCTGACTGCCTGCGAAGCCTCAGGATAAGTGCTGGGGTCTTCTGCCCCTTGAGTCAGATAATACCTCTAATGCTCAACCCTAAATTTCACATTTAAAGCTGGGCACAGTGGTTCAAGTCTGTAATCCCAGTACTTAGGAGGTAGAAGCATGAGGATCAGGAGTTCCAGACCATCCTTGGCTACATAATGAGTCTGTGGCTAGCCTGGACTACACCGTACCTTTTCTTGAACAAATAAAAACAAACAAAAGCATATCCTCACTAAATCAAGTCAGAGAAGCCTGAAGGTTAGAAGGGGGAACCCACAGCAGCTGTGGCTCCTGACCACAAAGGGACACTCACCTATGGCTCCCACAGCCAGCAGAACACTCAGCACAAACCAGGGGAGAAAGCACCTCTGTACACCCATGCTGCTCTTCCTTCCAGCGCCAAAGGTGCAGGGGGTGGGAATGCGCCCCACTATAGAAAGGGAGGCTCATTTACATAGCCCTTCCTCCTCTCCCTCCAGAGGAGGGGGAACTTGGGAGGAAGGGAAGGCTCAGAACTGATTTTAGCCCCTTCCCCACCCCACTGCTCAACGACAGTTTCTGGTTTCATTGGATCACGTTCATCCTGACGCACTGGCTAACGGCCACAATTCACACACTTCATAGTCACAATTCAGCAAGAAAGACAGAAACAATGAATTGAGTCAAACCAAGAATTCCTTAAGACCGAAACAGCACCTTTACCCAAAAGTAGCCAGAAAGGACTGGGAGTGTAGATTCCCAGCAATAAAACAACAAAACCAACTGATGAATGCCTGAAACAGTGAGAAACGACTCTGTTTTCTAGCCAAAGAATTTTTTACAATAAGAGACCCCATTTTCCAGCCAATTCCAGGACAGCCAAGGCTACACAGAGAAACCTTGTCTCGGGGTGTGTGTGGGGGGGGCTGGGGAGTCCCGATTCCGTGCCCCACATGAAGGCACACAGGAGGCAGAGCCAGACGGATCTCTGAGGGTTTGAAGCCAACCTGGACTTTTTAACCCGTTCAGGTTAACCAGGGACGCATTACAAAAGTCTTGTCCAAAAAGGGGGTAGGAGTGCTGGAGAGACGTCTCAGCAGTTAAGAGCACCTGCTGCTCTTGCAGAAGACCAGCGTGCGGCTCCAGCACCCAAGTCTAGCTCACAGCCGCCTGTAACTTCAGTCCAAGGCAGCTGCTGCTTCTGTGGAACCTTCACAAAGACACGCGCGCGCACACAACATAAGTTAACATAAATACATATATTTATTTAAAGACTCCAAGAAGTTTGCTTTTTAAACGAGGCTCTCTTGGCCAGGCGGGATTTAACCTCACCCGAGGAGTGGTGAAAAGTGAGTGAAAGGTAAGGAAAGCCACGGACCAGCGACACCACCAGTTCCGGCCGGCGGAGCCGAAACCAGGAACTGGTGGAAAGTTGCGCGGTGGCCCCTTGGCTAGCCCGCCGGGGCGGAGCCTTCGCGGCGGGAGCGCGGGGTCCGGCCCCCTCGTGACGTTCACCAATCGGGAGGGAGGGAGGCGGAGCCAGGGAAACGCGGGAAGGAGGGGTGGGGCCTCGGCTGGCCGTCTGGAGCCGTGGGGGAGGCGGCAACATTGTTTCAAGTTGGACAAATTGTTAAGGGCTGAGCTTTCCTAGCGTTCCATCCCGCGCTGGGGCTGCCGTGCTCACCTTGGCCCCCAGGTCCTCCGCCCCGAGTCGGGCCCGCTTTCTTCGGGTTCCCGGGCCCCGCTCCCGGGGGCCTGAGCCGCCTCACTAGCGCTCCATGGAGAACTTCCAAAAGGTGGAGAAGATTGGAGAGGGCACGTACGGAGTGGTGTACAAAGCCAAAAACAAGTTGACGGGAGAAGTGGTGGCGCTTAAGAAAATCCGGCTCGACACGTGAGTGGCCTCCGGAGCCGGAACTCCTTTGCCTGGACCTCTTGGCACCCCCCCCCCAACCCCCTACCCCAACAGGCGGGTAGCCGTCTGGGACCGGAAGGTAGCGGGGAGGGACTCCTGAAGCGAGCGGTGGGTCGGCGGACGGTAGACGCTGTCTCGGAGGAGACTGTCGGGGGCATTCGGGGAGAACTTCCTTCTCGTGCTCCACTCGGTGTGCTCCCAAATCTGCAAGCCGAGAGACCTGGGAAGAGAAAGTGGGGGTGGGAGCCGGGCTAGGGGCAGGACTGTTCATGGAGCTGAGTTGTGTGGGAACAAGAGAAAAGTTCCTTTCTGAATGGAGAGCTCTCACTGCTGCAGCCCCACACTTAGAACCCTCACCCTCTTTCAAAAGAATGGCAGTTGAGACTCACTGGCCCCCTGGGGAGGCTGGGGGCTACTGTCAGCCCTCTCCCCTATTACCTTTTCTCTGCTTCTCACTCAACTGGAGGCTCCACTTTCCTTCCACTGGAAAAAAGAGGAAATAATGACCCAAAACGTGTCTAAAAGCCACACCCTGACTACGAAGGCATTAACTCCTGACAGCACCTTTCCTTTCTGACTTCCTAAGAGGTTTGGGGTTGTGTCCCTGAGAGAGTAACGTTTGCAACCATATTCTCGTCTCTGTTTTCCCCACCTCTCCAAGTGAGACTGAAGGTGTACCCAGTACTGCCATCCGAGAGATATCTCTGCTTAAGGAGCTAAATCACCCAAATATTGTCAAGTAAGTATCATCTGAGCTGATCACCAACATGACATGTTTTAGTCTGAATTTCTCTCCCTCAACTCCGTTTCCTGGACCTTCCCTCGCAGGCTGCTGGATGTCATCCACACAGAAAATAAGCTTTACCTGGTTTTTGAGTTTCTGCACCAGGACCTCAAGAAATTTATGGATGCCTCTGCTCTCACAGGCATCCCTCTTCCCCTCATCAAGGTATCCTCATCAATATTGTAGGGGAAACTAGAGGCAGGTAATTCAGACTAGTAATGATGGCTTTTTCTTTTTTTTCAGACTTCAACCCCCACCCTTTAATTGTTTTGCTTTTTCTGCTTATTGTAGTCATTAACCCTAGAATGGACAAAAGAGTCAACATTGAGCTCCTGTGAGCCAACCTAGACAGCTCAGACAGAAGATCAGATAACATTCTGATAAATGGGGTTGAGGGGCAATTAGGGGGGTCCTTCAAAAAATTCTTCCATCTGTGATGTGGGAGAAATGCCCAGTGAGTCTCTGCTGTCTGTTTTAGAGCTGGGCTCCTGGAGCTACTTGGTATGTGTCAGCAAGCACATATTCAGCACACAGTTAGCACCTTCAGGGTGCTAGGCACGGGGTATTGGAAGGGATGCTAAAATCGAGTGATGTCTGTATCCTTGACAGGCTGAAAATCCAGTGAAAGAAATAGCTATTAAATGTGTGGTTATATTGTAGTTATGTGTGTTGGCTCATAGTTACACTACTAACACTTGGGATGCTGAGGCAGGAGGATGTCAGTGAGTACAAGGACAGTATAGGATTCAAAGTTCCAGGCCAAGAAGACACTATATTAAAAAACAAACAGGGCTGACAAGATAGCTCAGCAGGTAAAGGTGCCTGCCTCCCAGCCTGACAACCTGAGCTCCAGCCCCGGGTCCCACACAGCACAAGAAGAAAACCAACTCCTACAAGTTGTCCTCTGACTTCCACACATGCTCTCTCCACAAATAACTAAATAAATGAGTGAAACCCTAAAAATGTGTAGCGTAGCCGTTATCTAACATAGTTAAGGTTTTATTGAATTTTGGGGACAAATAACAAGTTGTATCTGCTCGTTGTGATGAGGAAACAAACCTCCCTGTCTCCTCTGGCAGAGCTATCTGTTCCAGCTGCTCCAGGGCCTAGCGTTCTGCCATTCCCACCGGGTCCTACACCGAGACCTTAAGCCCCAGAATCTGCTTATCAACGCGGAGGGGTCCATCAAGCTGGCAGACTTTGGACTAGCAAGAGCCTTTGGAGTCCCTGTTCGCACTTATACTCATGAAGTAAGTTCTCTGTGGCCTTCTCTAAGAATCTTGGGAGATGTTCATAACAGCATTCACAGATTACCAAAATACTGGGGCAAGAGTTCCTCGGTAAATGGAATCTGACAACCCAGTGGTCCTCTTTTATTTAGAGTATTTGGGTGTTTTGCTTGCATGCATGTCTGTACCACCTGCCTGGCTGATCTTCACAGACATCAAAAGAAAGCGTCTGGTTTCCTGGAACTGTAGTTACAGATTGCTGTGCACTGCCATATGGGTAGTGGGAATTGACCCCTAGTCCTTTGCAAGAATAACAAGTGCTGAGCCATCTCTAGCCCTTAATCAAAGGGTCTCAAGACTTGCACTAAGTTCACGTCTTGAGGTTACCTAGACTTAGATACTAAGCCAGGAAAGCTGGTTGGCATGCCATTTAAATGTCAGGTTTTCCAGGAAAGCCCTGAGTCTGGGGGTTCAGAATACCTGGGTGAGGATGGAGAGCTGGCTCAGCCATTAAGAGTGTCTATTGCTCTCGTAGGGACCTGAGCTCAGTTCCCAGAGCCCATGTAAGACAGCTCCTGACCCATGTCAGGATGAGACAGTTTCTCTTGCCTTAAGGTACTGCACAGTTGTGGAAACCTACATAGACACACATGTGTACACATTATTAAAATAAAAACGTCCTTTTTAGAAGGAAAAGATGGAAGGTAACAGAGTTCTGTTGAGGTAAGGTATGTGACGCTCCTTGCCCTGAAACCCTTATTGTCCTCTTGCGCCCCAGGTAGTGACCCTGTGGTACCGAGCGCCGGAAATTCTTCTAGGCTGCAAGTACTACTCCACAGCCGTGGATATCTGGAGCCTGGGCTGCATCTTTGCTGAAATGGTATGGAAGCCAGCCAGGTTCTAACCAACCTACTCACATCCACATCCAAGAGTGAAACCCATTTGTTGGCCTGGAAGCATGGCCCTTTATCACAGGGTCCTCTCAAGTGTCACTGCTGTTAGTTAGTTACCTGATACAATTTTAGATATCCCTAAGCAGAGCTAGTTATCTAGTATGTATCTTATCCCCAAATGAGGCAAACCCATTCTGTACCCATTCGGCTGTTTTATTTGTGTTCTGAGATAGTTTCATTGTGTAGCCCAGACTAGACTAGCTTCATGTTCTTGATCTTCTGCTTCAGCTCCTCCTCCCACCATGGCTGTCTAGCCCATGGGATTGAGTTGACAGGCATGAGCAGCCATGCTGTCTCCACTCATTCAGCTGTTTCAGCTTTAGTTCTCAAATACTTGGAAGAATGAATTCCATTTAGTACAGCAGGTGGCCCATAGGTCAAATGCTCCCAACGGTAGCTGTGGCCTCAATACAAAATCATAAACTTATAAAACAGAATGGGTTTTTGTTTTGTTGCTTTTTGTTTTGTTTTGGGGTTTTTGGTTTGGTTTGTTTTTTTTGAGACAGGGTTTCTCTGTATAGTCCTGGCTGTCCTGGAACTCATTCTGTAGATCAGAGTGGCCTTAAACTGAGAGATCCACCTGCCTCTGCCTCCCAAGTGCTGGGATAAATGGTGTGTGCCCAGGTTTGTTTTTTTAAAAACTTGATTTAATGGTACTTGACCTTGAACTTTGTGGATGACAATGTCATGTTGCAGTTCGAAAACTGGACAAGTCTGATTTTATTTCCTTCATTTGTCCTATAGACCTGCTCTTGGAAACAAGGAGTTTAGTAAAGTCAGTTGTGTTCAGCTGATCCACATCTATCATTTTTGTAGACTTGGTCATGCCCTAGCCCCCCAACCTCTGGCTTTTTAGAATGAAGGATCCTTGAAGCCTGGCTTCATATGGGAGCTCCCATCCCATTTAATGCAACAGTAGGTAGACAGATCAGTAATATTTTTATGGTCCTTTGGGTTGAAACTAGGGGCTTGGAGACCATTAGCCTAGATATAGATATACATATAGAGTGTGAATTTATCCACCAGTACCTTACAATTGCCCATATTCCTCTCTCAATTCATCAAAAAATATTTGTTAAGCACCTAGTGTGTACCCAGCACCATGCTAAGTGCTGTGGGGAACACAGAAGAAATGGAAGACACAGTCTCTGCCCGCTGTGCTCCTATCTAGAAGTGGCTGCATCACAAGGAGGGGGGATGACCGCAGTGTCTACCCCACACCCCGTGAGTGGCTTGGGATCCCTTTGCTACGTGTCAGTGGCACCCCAGACAGTCACCCCCTCCCAGCCCCACCCAGCCTTGGGGAACTACGAAGCCATGGTTGGGGGAAGGAAGGAGGGGCGAGGAGACAGATGAAGGGACTTCATTGTCTCAAGCTCTGTATGACCGACCCCATGAAAAGCCCTGGGGAGGGAAGTCATGGGCCCTGCTGACCTTCCACTGCCTGTGGGAACCTCCTTTGTACAAGGGGCAGTGTGGACTGACGTCAATGTGGGTCTTGGCTTTTCTATTTCCCCATTTTCAGGTGACCCGTCGGGCCCTGTTTCCTGGAGATTCAGAGATTGACCAACTCTTCCGGATCTTTCGGACTCTGGGGACCCCAGATGAGGTGGTTTGGCCAGGAGTTACTTCTATGCCTGATTATAAGCCAAGTTTCCCAAAGTGGGCTCGGCAAGATTTTAGCAAAGTTGTGCCTCCCCTGGATGAAGATGGACGGAGCTTGCTATCGGTAAGAGCCCGGAATGGATGCCTTTTCCCATTTCCCAGAGAAGAGCCTTTTCTGGATACAGAGAAGCCCCTGAACTCTGTTAGAAGTGCCTTAGTCCTTGCTTCCTCTGGTCATCAGGAGGCTGGTTCAGATATGGGAGGAGGGAGATGAGAACTGGCTAAGAAGAATGCTCGTGCCCTGTTATGTCCCTGAAGTCAGAATATATCTCTTCTTCCAGCAAATGCTGCACTACGACCCCAACAAACGGATTTCAGCCAAAGCAGCCCTGGCTCACCCCTTCTTCCAGGATGTGACTAAGCCAGTACCCCACCTTCGACTCTGATGCCCTTCCCAAAGCCCTATTAACCTTTGGTCTGACTTGACTCTGGGCCGTTTGGACACAGGTCAGCCTTCTGCTCTTTTCTGGCTGTCTTGGCACTCATCTTTTCTCCTGGCCAGCTAGCTCTGGGGATTCAGAGGTGCAGGGAAAGATTAGGTGAAAAGGAAAAAGGTTTGGTATTAGATGCACTTAACTCAGCCTCCAGCACCTTCTCTTCTTCTTCTTAGTCATTACTGAGAAGGATTGGAACTCGAAACAAAACATCACTGACCGTTCTCCCCTGTGTCAAGTTTTGCCATCTCAGTCTTAAACTGTCTCATAATTATTATGTCCCATGTTTAGGAAAACAGACCCAGACCTGCTGCCACTGTTTAGTAAAGGCCAACTGATAAGCAGAAGTCTAAGTTGGGACATTTCAGAACCAAGCAAGAGGGGTCTGTTTTAATGAATTAGACTTAAAAATAGATGTAAGCAGTTTATACCTTAGTTTTAGTGTTTGGCCTTGCCTAGCAATCAAAGAGGCCCAGTTGGAGAAGCAGAAGAAATGATTCCCTTTGAAAGAAATGACTATCTTCTCCAGGCAAGAAGAGCCGGAAGGGCACAGGGATCACGCTCTGCTGCAGTCTGTTCATGGTGGTTCACACAGCAAGGTGAAAGACACTCTAGTTCTTCCTTTTAGCAATTTTATTGTTTTCTGGTGCTGACGACTGAACCCAGGACTTTGCCCTCGCTGAGCAGACACACCACCAGTGAGCCACATTTCTAGCCCTGTCTTTGGAGTTGTCAGAGGTCCCTGTTGCCATCTTCCTCTGAGAGTTACCCCTCACTCCATAGGAGTGGAAGCAAGGCTTTAGATGTCATGACAATGCTGGGATTTTAAAGGCTTTGACCTGGTTGGGTCATTGGGGGAAATTTTCTATAAGAGAGTGAACAATTATATTTATATTTGAAGTTACAGTAGTTTGGATATTTTAGTGGTTTTCTTTTCTTTTTTTTTTAGTGTGGATGGATTTGTTGCCATGTGCACTTTGGGATTCAATTGTTTAAAGAAAAGATTTCTTTTATGATTTTCTTTCTTCTCCCACCCCTTGTCCTCCAGTGTTCTGTTAATATATTATTTTTAATTTAGTTTGTAATTCATTAAAAGAAAATATTCTCAGTTTTATAGTGAATCTCTTTCCTATTCCTCATTTATTTATTTATTTACTGAAAAATGGTGTAGGTGAAAATCTGAATGTGAGTAAGTTGTTAAATGATTTCAGATCTGTGTCCCTAATCTCTGTTTATGCAGGACACCCTCCTATGCCTTGCCGTGGGGTGTCTTTAATGGGTATCGTTCCCACTTACAGGTGGGGAAACGGGGATTTTCTTCCTACTTTTTCCTAAGGAACAGCTAATCTCTCCTTTTCCCTATTCACACATGCACACGAATAGAAAACACTGTTTCGGTTTTTCTGTTAGCATCAAGTTGATTGATGGGGCTTCAGGGATATTCATCCCAACACCCCAATTCCCAGAAAGCTTTTACCATTTGTGCAGGGTTTTGTTTGGTTGGTTTGGAAATTAGGTGTACATGTTTGAGTGTGCGAACATGAGTCTCCAGTGCCTGCAGGGGCCAGGAGAGGGCATTAGCTCTCGAGAGCGGCTCCTGCTCGGAACTGCTGATCTATCTCTCTAGCCTGTCTGAGGCCCTAGGTTCAATCCTCCGTACCACAAAAAATCCTCAGCAAAGTTGTCCAAATAGTTTATCCACATTTACAAACAATTCAGAAAATATCAACTATATGACAATTTAGAAGGTTTAAAGTGTCTTCAGACTTCAAATCTTTGCTGTTGTCATGGTTTTACACCATCAAAAAATTTGGCAGTCCACCCAAAATCTCCTGTTCTCTAATGCTCCACTAAAATGAACTTATGAGAGAAAGTTCCTTAAATTCCCCGATTTCAGGTCCTTCAAAAGGTTGGATATCCTAATTTGACACAGAAAGATGGGCACTGGAGGCTGGTCTGGAACTCATGGAGCTCCTCCTGACTGCTAAGATGAAAGGCTTGGCCACCAAGCCCAGGGTTTTGTCGCCGCCGCCCTCCCCACCCCCAAACGGAGCCCTTGTCTCAAGAAACGAGAGGAGGATGACCTAGAACTCCTTCCTAATCCTGCCTCCACCTCCCCGCGCTGTGCTGGATGTGACAGGTCTGCCACACCACACCCGGCCAAGAGCCTTCCTAGGGCTTCTTTCGCGCTCGCCTTGCCTGCCACTCAAATTCGAAAATTTCCCAGTACTGGTTAAAATTTCTTTTTGGCCCGCCTCACCCACTCACCTGATTACATGTTTACGAGTCAAAAGGCGAGGAGGGGCGTCATGGGTGTCGGAGTTTTATTGGCTGACACACATGCCTGTCAGTACTGCACCGCCCCCTTTCTCAGGACCTCACTCTCTAGTGGTTTCTCGTCCTGTCAATCTTCAAGCCTTCTCTTTTAGCTATTGGTTTCCGGCCCCGCCATTCCAGCTCTTGCGTGTACTGGTTGGTGACAGCAGCCCTAAAGCCCGCCTTCCTCCAAAGGATTGGCTGATGAGCGCACATGCGGCCCACCCACCACAGTGGGCGGGCGGTCTTGCGGTTGGCTGGCGCCTCCGCCCGGCGAGGAGGAGGAGGAGAAGGGGGCAGGAGGTTTGGTTGAGCCGCAGCTGTTTGTCTGTTCCGCACAGGCTTGGGCCCGACGCGGCAGACGGAGCCCCAGGTACCGAGCTGATGGAGCCCGCGAGGGCGGAGGCGGAGGTCCCGAGAGGAGCGCAGCCTGGCCTGCGGCAGAGGCGGCTCGGGCCTACGGCAGGGCCGCGCAGCCTCCCGGAGAGCGCAGAGGGGCTGTCCCGGCGGGCCTAGTGGGCGCCGAGCAGGGCATCGGCGGGGCTGGGAGCCGAGCCTGCGGTCGGGGAGGCGGCTCGCTCGGGGGCCGGGCGCGGGGACCCGGAGCCGGTGAGCCCAGACCCGGGCGGCCTCGGTCCTCCGAGCCCTGCCGAGGAGGGAGGAGCGGGGTCGGAGCCCCGGCGGCGGCGGGGAAGCCCATTGGCAGGAGGTGTGGAGGGCCAGCGCTACGCCCAGCCCCGAGGGTAGCCGGCGCCGGCTCTCCGGAGACGGCCAGCGGCGGGGTTCTCAGCTGGGTGAGACGCATTCTTTTCAGGGAAAGTGACTGTTGAGGGGGAGCCGGGGACGCTGGTGTGCCGAGAGGGGTTTGGTCTCAGTGAAGTCAGGGACGAATGCTGAGCTGATCTTCCGAAGTAGAAGGAAGTAAGGCAGGGCCTGGTGTCAGTGATGGGAACTTCTGGAATGATGGGGAGGGAGGCTCTGCATCTTGGAAGGTCTTACTCTTTTGTTTCTTTAGTGTTTAGGTCTGGTGATTTGAAGTTTTTTGTTGCATCTTGGGATGTCTTACTCTTTTGTTTCTTTAGTGTTTTGGTCTGGTGATTTGAAGTTTTTTTGTTGTTTTGGTTTGGTTTGGGTTTTTTGTTTGTTTGTTTGTTTGTTTTTGGGATAGGAAATAAAGAGAAAGGTAAAATTAAGTTTTCCATGGCTCCAGTTTCAGCCGACCCTACACTTGAGTTTGCCCTGGCCTCATCATAGCTGGCCCTTTTATTTTTTTTTTTTTGTACTAGTTGTTGTTTTTCCTATTTCACGTACTGTGAAAGAACTAAGAAAAATTTAGGGATACTTTGCGCAATCTTTCCCACTTCATAATGTGGTCTGTGGTGACTTAACTTTTACCTAGAATTGAGGAACTCTAACATCCGAATGGAAAGGAGTTTAGCGATTCCCAGCCGTTAAAAAAAAAAAAAAAGCACCATGCTTGTTGAAACTTCTGTCAGACTTTCTCTTGGGCATTTTCCTAGACAGTTAATGGAGGTCTCCAGCCCAGGAACTGTGAGGTTAAGATATCCCTGAGGGGATTTTGGGAAGAGATGAGAAATTACCTCCCAGGAGGTTGGCATTATCCTTTTTTCTTTGACCATTTATTCAGGAGCCACTTTTTGTATGATTAGCTAGTTAGGTCAAACCCTGAAGTATGTAAAAAGGATTATAGAGAATGAGTATGTCTTTAAAATTTATTGTGTGTATGTGTGTGCCCGCGCATACCTGCACCTCACACCTATGTGAGCCACAGTGCATGTGTGGAGATAGAGGACGATTTGTGGGTGTTCAGTTCTCAGGCTTACAGCCTAGAAGACACATTATTAATGGCAGACAAATGGGAGTCCCCTCCAATATGGGGGAGGGTTACTGACTTACCAAATTTAATATATTTTCTGTAGATTGGACCCTATTGATTCTTCTCTTAGGGTCCTTCCTCCTCTTTTTTTTTTTTTTTTGTTTGTTTGTTTAAGATTTATTTATTATGTAAACAGTGTTCTGTCGGCATGTACACCTGAAGGCCAGAAGAGGGCACCAGATCTCATTATAGATGGTGCAACCACGTGGTTGCAGGGAATTGAACTCAGGACCTCTGGAAGGGCAAGCAGTGCTTTTAACCTCTGAGCCTTCTCTCCAGCTTCCTCTTTCCTTTCTATATGGATGCTATTTATTACTGCATTTCTTTTTTTCTTTTTAAATATTTATTTAATTTTATGTGTGTGCATGCATACCATATACATGCAGGAGCCCTCAGAGGTCAGAAGAGATACAGGATGCCCTGGAACTGGAGTTAAAGACAATTGTGAGCTGCCCTGTGGGTGCTGGGAACTGAGAGCAGGTCCTCTGCCAGAGTAGTAAGTGCTCTTGACAGACACGCCATCTCTAGCTTATATTACGACATTTTTTATACCAAAGTAATACATACATATATTAAGATGTTTAAGCTGTATGGAAATATATAAAATCTGAGGCCTTTCACACATAGTTTATTTCATTTAGGACAGTTATAGATATTAAATAAGACTTATTTTTCTGTTGAGGGATGTGCAACCAAAGACAGCTAGTTCTGTTCTTTCATTCTTTCCACAGTATTCTCCTCATGGATGATACTCTGTTATTAATTGTGTTTCTTTTGCAGTTTATCTTGTCTTCCATCAAATTCAGAACAAGCATAAGAGTTGTCCTCTAAGTTATCATTTGTCTTCTTTAGTACACACAGTTGTGCACTGGGTAGCCTAGAAACTGCCCGAATGAATGAAAAAAATTTTAAATAATTTATTTATTTTCATTTTTTAAAATGTGCATGGGTATTTTGCCTGCATCTATATCCATGTGAGGGTGTCAGATCTTAAAGTGACAGACAGTTGTGAGCTGCCATGTGGGTGCTGGGAATTGAACCCAGGTCCTCTGGAAGAGCACTCAGTCCTCTTAACTGCTGAGCCATCTCTCCAACTCCCTGAACAACAACAACAAAAAATTTTATGGGCAGGAAAGAACCATTAAGGGAAATAACTTTGTTTAGGATAGTTATTAGCATCCCTACTAGAGTAAAGAAACTGAAACCCTCATCTTCGTTCAGATATTCACAGTACTTGACTGTTTCTTCCTTATCTCAGGGAGACAGTGATGGTTCCAGGATGGATCTTGTACCTGGCTTGTTATAGAGACCTAAGAAGGCCCATGTTTCTCTGAATTTGAAGTTGACCTTTTACTTCTTGAAGCCCCCTAATATGCTCATTGCTTAGTGTTCATCGAAAACTTCTGTTTCACCCCTCCCCCCCCCAGCTTTTCTCACCTATACAGCCAATCCAGGAGAAAATACTTGGATGTGTGTGTGTGTATTCATCCTCTCTAATCTTCCCCATCTTTAAACCTCGATCATATTCTGTCCTATTCTGTGTCCCTTTGTTTTGTTTTGTTTTTCTACCTTCTTCTTAAAACCTTTCAAGAAAGAATCTGGAAGCTGGGTCTGGTGGGTACTTGCCTTTGATTCCGGCATTCAGGAGGCTGAAGCAGGGTCCTGAGTTCAAGGCCAGGCTAAGCTACACGGCAGGCACTGTTTCTAGACTTATAGCCTAGTGGTGCAGTATATGATTAGTATTTACCAGATCCTGGGTACAAAGAGAATGAGAATAGAGTATCTGGAATTGCTAAAGTTTTAAGATGTAAATAATTCATAGTGACTTAAAATATTTTCCAAAGGCTCTGCATATTTAGGGAGCTAAGAGTGGACTCAGCAGTGTGGGGTTTCAAACACTGGCCTGTAGCTAACAACAGTGTATTTGGAGAAGAGGGTTTTCTTACTGCCCTTGAGGTCATACCCTGCATCTTCTCTTACTTGGCTTTAGTGCAGGGTTACTCCTTTGTGTTTTGTTTGTCTGTGTGTTGACATAAATATGGCTTCTGGAACAGAGGCACAGATAAAATAGGAGAAGCAACAGACAGGTCCTTCCTAACCCTAAGACATTTCAGGTGGGAAGAAGGTCAGTGGTATAGTTTGTGTAACATGTATGAAGCCAAACTGAAGTGTGAAACAGCAAACATAAAGGAAATGGAGTGGCCCACCGGGGGGTGGGGGGGAATGCCATAAAGCCATACCTAATATACTATTCCTAAGAATGTTTCCCGGAAAAGCTAGTCACTCACTGAACAATAGCAGAGTCAGTAGCCCAGGTAAGGGAAGTATTTGTCTCTGGGCTAAAGTGTAGCTTTGGTTTAGGGCTTGTGGATACCTGCCTGTATGGTAGTATGACTTCTAAACTTGTTTCTCTTATATTTATGGTTGTGAACCTAGCCTTGAAGGGTTGAGCCATCTCTTCAGCCCCTAAACTTGTTTCTTAAGGCCAAGGATAATGACCCAAAGCTTTTTAAAAACTCTTTAACATAAACCTCAGAGAGCACTAGGAGTTGCCTCAGTGCTATAGAGACACATTGGGTGTGATTAGGCCTTGTGAGAGGTAGGAACAGGTGACAGGAAAAGCAGTTAGCACACGTGAATTACAACGGTCCCTGTGTGTGGGGTCCATCCATCCAAGGGTGATCACAAAGCACCCCGAAAGAGAACTGTTCTGAAGCCTGTGAGGAACTCCCTGAGCTGAACGAATGTCTATCCAGACGGCATTGAAGGGAAGGAGCTCTAGAAGGTTGTGGCTGCACACATTTTTTAAATACCCCTTTTGAGAAGCTAATGGTTTAGCAGAGCAAATGGACATAACTTGCTGGTAAATGCATGATAGACATGCCATGCTGCTGGCCTGGGAAAATGGCTCAGCAGGGAAAGGTATTTGTCAGTAAGCTTGATGAGCCCCAGAACCCCCACTGTGGAAGGAGAAAAGCAATTCCCAGAAGTTGCCCTCTGATACCCACAAAGATGCATCCAAGCACACACATGTATGCACACACACACACAAAACAAATGGTTGGGGTTTTTGTTTGTTTGTTTTACATTTTGGTTTTGCTTTGTTAGTGTAGCCAGGGTTTCTTTGTGTAGCCCTGGCTGTCCTGGAACTAGCTCTGCAGACCAGGCTGGCCCAGAACCCTCAGATCTGCCTGCCTCTGCCTCCTGGGTGTTGGGATTAAGGTGTGCACTACCACCACCTGGCTTGTTGTTTTGCCTGTATGTATGTCTGTAAGGGTGTCAGATCCTCTGGAACTGGAGTTACAGGCAATCATGAGCTGCTGTGTGGTTGCTGGGAATTGAACTCAGGACCTTTAGAAGAGCAGCCAGTGCTCTTAACTGCTGAGCCATCTGTCCAGCCCCTGTTGAAACTTTTTTTAAGATTTATTTATTTTAGGTATATGAGTGCTTTATCTGCATGTACACCTGCAGGCCAGAAGAGGCCACCAGATCACATGGTTGTGAGCCACCATGTGGCTGCTGTGGATTGAACTCTCCAGCCCTTAAAAGATTTTTAAAGAAATACAATCTTAGTCTTTTAAAATTATATGTAAATATTTTGCTGACACACATATTATGTAATATGTATATTATTATATATGTTGTTACCCTGCATATACACATATGTGTGTGTATAGTAAAGAATTAATACAGTGAAATACAGCATGCCAACCAAGCTCTGTACCACTGAGCTGTATTTCCAGCCCTTTTGTTTGTTTGTTTGTTTGTTTGAGACGGTTTCTCTGTGTAGAGCTAACAGCTGTTCTGTAGACCAGGCTGGCTTGAACTAAGAGATCCACCTATCCACCTGCCTCTCTCTCCCTAGTGCTGGGATTAAAGGTGCCCTACTACTGCCTG